GAGGGAACTGGGACTTGTTTAGTCTGCAGAAGAGAAGAATGAGGGGGGATTTGATAGCAGCCTTCAACTGCCTGAAGGGGGGTTCCAAAGGGGATGGAGCTCGGCTGTTCTCAGTGGTGGCAGATGACAGAACAAGGAGCAATGGTCTCAAGTTGCAGTGGGAGAGGTTTAGGTTGGATATTAGGAAACACTATGTCACTAGGAGGGTGGTGAAGCACTGGAATGCGTTACCTAGGGAGGTGGTGGAATCTCCTTCCTTGGAGGTGTTTAAGGCCCGGCTTGACAAAGCCCTGGCTGGGATGATTTAGATGGGGATTGGTCCTGCTTTGAGCAGGGGTTGGACTAGACACCTCCTGAGGTCCCTTCCAACCCTGAGATTCTGTGATTTAAAGTGACAGCTTATAACTGCAATCAGGGCCGGCTCTGGCTTTTTGGCCGCCCCAAGCAAAAAAAAACGGGGCGGCCAGAACGGCAAAGAGGGGAAAAAAAACCTGCACCGCGGCCGGAGCGCGGGTGCCGGGGGACCAGCTAGTGGGGGGAGAGGGGAGGGAGGTGGCCAGGGCTACAGCGGGGCACTGCCATGTGGCCCCTCCCGCTGCGCCGCCTGCCAGGAGGGCTCCGCTCTGGTCGGCTGGGAGGGAAGGACGTGGGCTGCCCTGCCGGGCTTGCTGCAGGGAGCTCCCATCCTCTGCGCCACCGCCCCCTACAGGGCGGCCAGAGCAGAACAAAAAAACGCGGCCGTGCCGCCCTAGGATTGGGCGGAACGCCGCCTCGTTCAATCTGCCGCCCCAAGCACCAGCTTGCTCGGCTGGGGCCTGGAGCCGGCCCTGATTGCAATACAATTTTCAATACACCACAGTCCTGAGGTTAATTCCTGTCCCTTCTGAACCTTGGCTACTTGTTTTCAGTGTGAATTTGTCCAGCTGTTGCATCTTGTTCTGCCTTTTCCTGGTGGATAAAGGAGAACGCAAGGACCAGACATCTCTTCGTTCAGCGACTTCGCAGAGAGGGTAGAAAAATCTTTTCCAGTGGAAAATGGCTTTTGGGTTGAACTGGAAACGTCCATTGTCAACGACCCTTGTGGGGGATTTGTCAAATTTTTCAGTTGGCCAAAACCCCTGAAAAATTTCAACATGCACAAAAACCGTCTGTTGTTGTGGAAGCCTCTCGTGGAGAGAAAGCCCATTTGCTAGAGCTGGTACTTACGGGCAGAGATCCTTAGGCAACACCACGCTGGACCAGAACGGAGACCCATCTTGACACCCTGGCATGAGACCCCGCGGTAGCAGATGTGGGATAACCGACCCCCCACAGTCGGTTTCTTCCTGGTCTTTAACCATCCCTCTGTGACGCTAAAGAGATCACATCCCATTTTCTATCGCAGGACCACCTGGCCCATTGTAGCTAGACTGTCTGTGCTGCGGCCCCCCACAGGGAGCCCGAGTCAGGGGTTAGGGTCTGCTATGCCCGGCGCTGGGCAGACGCTAGGCCCAGACAACCGTCCCTGCCCAAGTGAATGAAAACAGACGGATGGATAGACAGGGCAGTGGGAGGGGCAGGGTGAAGTCACGCAAGCAGGGGTGGCTGATGCAGAAAAGCAGAAGTCTCTTCAGAGAAACCACAGGGGCTTGAGGCACAGCCAGATAAGAGCCAAACCTGGATCTGCTCCTCAGCACCACTGAGCACCTGGAGCTCCCCACTTCAGCTGGGCAGGGGGCTGTGGGGGAAGAGAGCTCGGCCAGGGCCCGGTTCTGCCGAACACCAAGCCCCTGCTTTCACACCCTAAATAGGGGGGAGTCCTGTGGCTTGTGTCAGGGAAGAGGAGAGGATCACAATGGACCCATCTGGCCTATGAAACTCACCCTGTACAGAGCACCACTACAAGGAGAACCTCGGGCTGGGCTAGCAGGGGCTGCGGGTCAGGAATGAGGGGCACCGGCAGGGCATGGGGGGGGCAGGGCTGGGCTAGCAGGGGCTGCGGGTCAGGAGTGAGGGGCACCGACAGGGCTGGGCTAGCAGGGGCTGCGGGTCGGGAGTGAGGGGCACCGACAGGGCTGGGCTAGCAGGGGCTGCGGGTCGGGAGTGAGGGGCACCGACAGGGCTGGGCTAGCAGGGGCTGCGGGTCGGGAGTGAGGGGCACCAGCAGAGCTCGGGGAGGTGGGGGGCAGGGCAGGGCTAGCAGGGACTGCGATCCAGGATTGAGGGGCACTATAATGTATTAAAATCATGTAAATTATTTTTAAAAATAACCCTGTTATGCTGGGGATTGAGCAAAGCCTAATTGAAGCTGGTGGGTGTGGCAGCCATCCTGAATTCACGACAAATGTACAAAGCCACAGAGCCCCTTTGTGAAACAGACACCCGAAACACTAGGAGCCACCCACACAAAACCAAGCCCAAGTCTGCAGGGCTCTCCTTGAGATGAGAAAGCTGATTGTTGGAGGGAGGGAGCCGGGTCTGGGTCCGTGCAGAAAGGCCACAGCAGCACACAGAGAACTAACAGCAGGAAGCCCCCAGAGACAGCCAGAGAAGCACCGAGAAACGGCGAAGCGCAGGAGCTTTTGAGCAGAGGGCTGGCTGCGGTTCTTTGTAAAGAAACAGGGTGGCTTCAAATAAATGCCTGAGTCCATCATCAATTTCTCCCCCCAATGGAAACAACCCACTGCAACCCGAATATTGGTGAATGACTCAGGTCAACAGGGGCAACAATATTCAAGCAGAACAGGAAACCCCTGAACTGGTGGATGTCACTGGTTAAGCACCGAGAAACCAGAGTTTGTTGACATACTAAGCCAGCTTGTGACGCCAGGAGCTTCTTCAGGAGGTGCAGAGGGAATATTTTCTTCACTGAAGTTTATTCAACTAGTTCAGTTCAAAGCTTTGAGCAGGGGGTGGGATTAGATGACCTCCTGAGATCTCTTCCAATGCTGATATTCTATGATTCTATGTGACGTGGATTGGGAGTTGAAAAAGCAGGAAAGCTTGTTTTTCCTCTTCCAATAGCTGAATAAAAACTAGGTGTGAGGATGAGATCTACTAGTTCTAAAATTGTGAAGGGTGAGGTGACCAGAAACAATAAGTTCGCTTCACTTAACTGCAGATACCAATAGTTCCTTTGTTTAACAAATCCATCAGTTTTAAATGCAAAACATATTTTGATAAACTTCCTTTTTCTCTTCACGTGTCCAGCACGTGTAAACTAGTTTGATTTATGCAATAAAAACAAATTTAAAATGTTGGTTTTGTGCATTTTTAATTGAATTCCAGTTTCCACCCAAATGCAGCGTGACCAAACCACGAGTAAGAAGTTCCTCATCTCGTCAATAGGAAATGTGTCATTCACCATTTTCTAACATAGCATAACAACAAACGTTCAGATGAGGACTGGATAAAAGTATGTTATGCTGTATAACTGCTTAACTAAATGTGGATAGATACACTGTATCATCCTGGTTAGCAAAAAGAAGGACCAAATTATACCAACCAATGAGAATCTACCTTTCTTTAAGTACAAAGGCAAAAGAAGATTTAAACTGATGATTTAAAACAAGATTTCCTGCTTGCTGATTTGTGTCAGTGGCTTGACTCACTTGGATTTAAATCAATCTGCCCGGGGGAACAGAACAGCTGTTGTTAACAAATCCACGTTAAGAGGCAGTTGCATGGGCAATAGCTAAGCCCTTGGGGGTGAGGGAATCTGAGCCGGGCAGTTTACTAGGCGTTTGGCTGAACAAAGTCCTGGCCTCTGGCCCCACATCTCTCCAAAGGCTGTGAGGGTGGCTGAGCCATGTCAAGCTGTTTGCCACACCTCCAATGTCAGGGCCGATTCAGCAGCCACAGATTGTAGGCAGCACTGGGGGGCAACCTCGCGCAGGGAGAGGAAAAAACAGGTCAGCATTTGTGCAGACAAGACACTTTGAAGGAATTATCTTTCCTCTGTTATCATCCGGTTCTCAGCCAAGGCACTGGGGAGGTGAGGTCTCGTGCATGCTTGAGGGACACCAGCAGAGCTGGGGGAAGGGGACCCAGGGCTGGGCTAGCAGAGGGCTGCAGCAGGTCGGGATTGAGAGGCACCAGTGGGGGTACTGTAGCAGGACTCGGCCTCATGTTTCACTCTCAGAAGTTACAGCAAGTTGAGCCACAAACCCCGTCCGCCCCTCCACCACCACCACGTCCGTCCGTAGGGGGATTGTGCAAAGATGCTATCGGCTGAGTCTGTTTGTGTTTGTCTGTGGCTCAGGGCCTGCTTTGGGTCTGCTCGCTCAGAGATTGCATGTGTGTGGGGTGGTGGTGGGGGCGGTGAACAGCCCTGGGAGATGAAGCCTGCACCAGAGAACTGAGCCTGCGACCGGGAGTCAGGTTCCAGAAAGCTCCTGGTGCAGGGAGAAGGAAATCATTCGGAAGGAAGGAGGGAAGGATGGAAGGAGGGAGGGAGAGATGGAGGGAAGGATGGATGGACAGAGGGAGGGAGGGATGGACAGAAGGAGGAAGGAATGAGGGATGGATGGAAGGAGGGAAGGATGGACAGAGGGATGGAAAGAGGGAGGGACGGAGGGACGGATGGATGGAGGGAAGGAGGAAGGAATGAGGGATGGATGGAAGGAGGGAAGGATGGGCAGAGGGATGGAAAGAGGGAGGGACGGAGGGATGGATGGATGGATGGACGGAAGGAGGAAGGAATGAGGGAGGGATGGAAGGAGGGAAGGACGGATGGACAGAGGGATGGAAAGAGGGAGGGACGGATGGAGGGAGGGAAGGATGCACCATTATGGTTAAGATTGATACTCTGTGAATCTTTAACACCCGTTTTTTCTACGTGCTCGAAAACCTGGCCGCTTACTTGGATTGATGTGAAAATCGCTGGGCCTCACGGGGATCCCGGGTCATGTCACTGGTCCAGATTTGAGGCCGTTTGTGCGAAGGTTTCCCAAGAATCAGCTCCCCCCCTAAAATAAAATCATGGGAAATCATCCAAGTGTTGCCATTCTTACACAGCGCAGGCCGAGGGCGCAGACTCTGCCTCTCCTAACCGTTCTCACTCCTTGGGACTGATCCCAGCTGGTGTCCGGCACCCACGGCCCCTTTGGGGAACCAAGACTGAAATCCTTCCTGAGGGTAAAAAACTGGCTGGCGCTCCACTGTGGCCTGAGCCGAGCTGACGCAAAGGCCTTGTACCCGGTGGCAAGCCAGCGTGTTTGCCGGCAGCCTGGCACCAGAACACACGACGTGCTGCGTCCCTCGGCAGCATCCGTGCACCGTGAGAAACTGCCCTGGGCAGGTTTCGAGAAATGTGTGTCGGGCCCTTTATTGCTCTCTGCAAAAGGGGGATTCTGCTGGAAGCTTTTGCCCTGCGAGCAGAGCGTCCGGTTTGACAGCTGGTATCACCAAGTGCTCTGAAAGCCAGGCACAAGTTCAGGCCCTGCTCCGGCCCCCTCACTCCCTTTATTTTAACAGGCGTTCGGTGCCTAAACACCTTTGAGGATCCGGGCCTCAGATTTTACTTCAGAAGCTTTGTGCAGGGGTTACGTAGAGGGCAGCTGAGAGACGCTAGGAAGTGGCAACAGCCGTTTTCGAGCCCTGGAAACAGGACGCGGGCGGCTTCCCTGGACTGAGTTTGAGCCCCGAACCGAAAACAGCTGCTCCGCTCTTCAAAGCGTTCACAGCTGTCAACGTGCCATCACACCTCTGAAAACGGCCATGGCCGGAAATATCACAGGCGAGAAAAGCGTTAAGTCATCGGGCCCTATGTTAAACCTGTCAGAGCAAACTGCCAGTGATGTCCTCACCCCCACAAGCCACCAAGAGAGAGAAGTCTGCCGACCTGCCCCCTGCCCTGCAGAAGGGTTCATTCAATCAGCCAGTCGCCTAGGAAACCATTACACGGGCAGGGTCTCCTGCATAGCCCTGGCCACCTAGGCCCTGCACGGGGCCCAGTCCCTAAAGCATCTCCCAGAAAGCTCCAGTCCGAGAGAGGGACCATCCGCCACTGCTCGGGGGCGTTTGTTCCCACAGTTAATCACCCGCACTGTGAACAATTGTGATTTCTAGCCAGAATTTGTCTGGCTTTAAGGTCCAGCCATTGGCTCTCACTCGGTCTTTCTCTGCTATGTTAAAGACCCCTGTTAGTACCTGGTATTTTCTCCCCAGGAAGCTAAGTAGACACCGGAATTGAGTCATTCTGATTTTTTGAGAAGCTAAACGGATTGAGTCCCTCGCTGTAAAGACGTTTCTCCAGCCCTTGAATCCTGAATCCCTTTTTCTGCCTCCTCGCCAACTTTTCAGCCTCCCCTTGATAACCCGGAGAGCAGAGCTGGGCGCAGTAGCCAGTATCCATCTCCAGGGCCGGCTTTAGGCCGATTCAGCCAAATTGGGTCCCGCGCTAAGAGGGCCCCGCGCCCCAGCAGCTCCGGCCCGACTTGGCTCCACCCCAGCCCCCGCGTCACGGCGTGGCTCGGGTCCAGCCCAGCCCCGCGGCTCTGCTCGACTCCGACCGCCGAGCGGCTCTGGGCCGGACTCAAGCCTGGTGAC